GTTCTGATAGATTGAAATTCTTATATTTAATCCTGTTCTTAATATTTTTTCAGTTGGGCTCACGGACTGACAATTGTATTATTGAGTATTATATGAATACTGAAATCATGTTAATGCTAACTTATTTTTACCGAGGATAACTTTACCTGAAGCATTTTCCACAATAATCACAGAAGAAGTTTTCTCTGTTACTCCGTTCGCCATTATGAATACGTTTGTGAACAGTAAGAAAACTATTGTATAAAAACTTCTTCTGGCATATATCGCACTGATACTTGCGAGCCTCCACTGGCAAATGCAACAAAATGTGAGAACGTAAATAGTTTTTGAGTCTGTTGACATAACAAATATCACGAAGCGTCAATATAATAATTCTGATAAATATCAATTAATATATCGTTATTACGTCAATATTATATATTTTTACTCAAGAATATAAATATATCATATGTTATACGTAAGGCCATAAGCATAATAGAGAAAATATTAGGAACAAATTTAAGAATTTCGATTTATCAGAAATCATGTATTCCACAGTACACTGTTTCTAAAGTATTGAAATTCTTATATTTAGTCCTGTTGCTAATATTTGTTCAATTGGCCTCACGGCCTGACAATTGTATTATTGAATAGACAATTGTATTACATTGGCATAATGTTAATGCTAATTTATTTTTACAGAAGATCATTTTACCTGAAGCATTTTCCGCACTTATCACACACATACTCCTTCTTTTTATGTTCAACTTGTGTATGTTGCCATTTCGAATGGTACGAACTAAAAGAGAGTCAATAGAATTAAACGAAAAAATAAAAATAAAAAATATATATTGTATTATTACGATTTTATTATGATATTAGATTAAAGTTATAGTTAATTTATACTGAAGTATTTTTACCTGAAACATTTCCCGCACTGATCACACACATACTCTTTTTTATGTTCACGTTGTGCATGTTGCCATTTTAAATAATACGAACTAAAAAAGATTCAATAAAATTAAACAAAAAGATAAAAAATAAACAAATATATATATATATGTATACATATATATTGTACTATTATGATTTTATTACGATATTATGTTAAAGTTACTGTTAATTTATATTGAAGCATTTTTACCTGAAACATTTTTCGCACTGATCACACACATACTCCTTTTTAT